GGGGGGTTCACAAACTTTCACATTTCTCATCTTGTTCTTGGACAATCAACATCTCCCTTGACTTTCCTTGGGGTGTGTGTGTCCGTCTGCGAATGTACGTTCCTGACACTCATTAGAACTGTGGAAGCAGCTTGGATGAGCTGCAAAATGTCTTCAACATTACAGGTCCAGTTCAGTTAAATGTGACTACGCTTAGCTATACAATGACCTGGATGAATGAGAATATTCACAGAAATGTGTTCACTAAGGGGCCTATTCACAAAAGGGTGAATAATTTGGAGAAGTGAGCAATCTAGGACAACATAGCTGAACTGGAAAGCTGAATTGGTGAACTTTTCCAAATTGTTCACTTCTCCTGCTTTCTCCAAACACTTCACCCTTTAGGCCACGTTCACACCTGAACGTATTTTTTCTGCTCGTTTTTTTCGTTCAGTGAAACACGCGTTTCACTGGCGGTATGATTTTTTTCTCTCCTTATTTTCTCTATTTTTTTTTCACTTTCAAACTTCCCGCCAGCTCCGCCCCCCCCCTGCGACGCGGCCGCTCGCAAGGGACGGCAACGTTCTGCCCTAACATTGACTAGTCGCTGACGGCCACAATTCGCACGTTCAGACCCAGATATGCGGCTTACAGTCCAGTCTTTAAACGCTTGAACAATGAGCCCCTCTTGAACATTTAACAAATTCTGCTGTTTTGCTGATACTCGCTCCATGGCTCGCGCCAACAATCATCGCACGTTCAAAGGCTGTTAAATCGCGTTGTTTACCCATATCTTCAGAAAAAAATCACTTCTACTGTCGTGGTAAACAACCTGCTTCCCTATTTATAATGGTCTGGCCTTCTAGCAACTTCAGCACCTGATTATAGCTAATTTGCCTACAAACGTCAGGTGGTCATAATAATCTGGCCACTCAGTGTATAAATATACCATGTCCTCCATTATCTACAAACACTCAGCGATCACCGATTACTGACTGTACTGCTCTCCTTCCTGACAGCTGTCACAGGAGGCTGAGCGAGTGGAGCGGGAGGAGAGCTCAGCCTCCTGTGACAGCACTGGCTGTCTCCGCCCACACCGCTCTCCTCTGATCTGTGACAGGAGGCTGAGTGGTGTGGGAGAAGAGACGCCGGCCGCTCACAGCACTCCCCCCCCGCAGCGCTCGGCCGCCTGTGACAGTTTCTCTCCTCCCCGCTGGGACACAGAGCAGCGCCCAGCAGGGAGGAGAGAAAGAATGGATGTGCCACTGTATCGGCCAGAAAATGGCACTTTCATCATTATGCCAAAAGTTTCATTTCCAGCCGATACGGTTCGGTGGTCGATATATCGGTGCATCCCTAGTAGTTATTGTGACCGTGCAATATGAATTGTTCACTTTTCTGTAAAATTCAGATTTTACAGCTTTAAGTGCCCATACACCTGGCGATTTTATCTTTCGATTTCCAAACAATCATCAGCCAGTCGATGGGAAAAGAGCGATCAGCATTACTTTACAACTGGCTGAATTTCGTCTATCCGGCAGGCTAGAAAACTTTTTTCGAATTGTGCGAAAATCGATGGATTAGTGGCATTTTTGTATGAAAAAAAATCGCAACACTGAACATGTGCAAACGAAAATCTGTTCTGTCGATCAACTTAATTCGGTCAGTTTGTATCGCTAACAAACGATAATTAAAATTCACATTGGCCTGTGCATGATGAGGCAGTCGTGCGGAAATAGAACGGCGGGACAAAATAAATAGAACGATAATTGTAAGGTGTACGGCCAGCTTTACAGATGCCTCAAGATAAATGGCAAACCTCAGATACTCCGGTGGAGTATTGACAAATTGCTGTGAACAAAACAGACAAAGCCTCTCTTATAAATAGGACAAAAAACACTTAAAGGGTTATTACATATCATTGCAGGTTAACCCCTTCATGACTGAGGCCTTTCATTTTTTTGCACCCATGTTATATTCCACATTTTAGGCCTGAAAATTACTTAAAACCCCCCAATATTTTCTGAATGCCAAGACCCTATAGAATAAAATGGTGGTAGTTGCAAATTTTTATGTTGAGCAATATTAGCGCAACTCCTTATTAAACCCTAAAATTTAGTGACCAATTCAATTAAATGCCCCAAAACGCAACAAAATACCAATTTTTTTTAATGTAATATAAAAGATGAGTTTACAACGAGTAAAACGATACCCAACATACCCAGTTTACAAATTGCGTGCGTCCGTGAAACGGCGAAAAACTGCAGTACCCCAAAAAGTCCATAGAAGACACTTTAAAAGCCCCCACAGGTCATCAATTTAGAGATACTGCAAAATACTGGCCCTAGAATTATTGCTCTTACTCCAGTGTGCGCGGGGATACCCAACATAAGTGTGCCCGAAGAAGGGGCCGCCCCCTGCCGTGCTTTCCGGGGTCCCGGCGGCTTTTGCTTTTGCCTCCCCGATGCTGGCGACGCACACTGTACGTTGTCAGTCACGAAGGGGTTAAAGGAGAATTATGAGGCGAGTGATTTTCACTCATCCTCATAGTCCTAGCCGACCTGTGACAAAGAAACTGTCACACGTCGGCTCAATAGATCGTGAAGTGAGCGACACATACTGCCACTCGCTCACTTCTCGATCATGTCCCTGCAGAGAGCCGTGACTGTCACTCATGGCTCCCTGCAGGGATTCACTTCTCCGATCCTCCAGTAATGTCGGGATCCCTCCCGGCTGCGGCGTTCTCAGTATACCGCGAGCTGTAGCTCACGGTATACTGAGCTTTGGGTCACGGGAGGATGCTAGTTTCCTCCTGTGACCCTTAGAACTATACAGAAAAACACTTACCCCATAGTTCTCCTTTAAAGATGATCGGTTATTATGCTTCTGGACTCTTTATATAACAAAATTATCTACTGATATGTGTACTTATTTTCTAATTGGTTTGTTTTTTCTTTATTTCAGAGTGATGATTCTGATATCTGGGATGATACTGCTTTAATAAAAGCATATGATAAAGCAGTGACTTCTTTTAAGGTTTGTTCTGTTCTCAGACTATTTGTTGTTCTTTATGCACAGCCTACATCTTACTGAAGCTGGTTATATACTTGGTACTTTGATTAATCCTCTGCACAGTCTCCTATTGAGGTAATAAAAGTAATGCAAGGATATACATGAACAAACCATTTAATGTGTATCCAGTCAGGCAGATCCTCATGCTCCAAACCTGATGGCAGATTTAAAGTAATACTAAAGTCAAAAAGTTTTTCAGCTATTTTAATTGCTGATGAAATAAATGGACAGATGCTGCACCTTGATGTTTAAAGGTTTTAGCTTCTTGCAGAATCCTCTGAGCCCCGGCCCTGATATCCTGTTATAGGGTGACTCCTTTCCCTTTGCAGGGTCCTTTGGAGCCACCCTTGTGTGTGCTAGTAAGCTGCGTGTGTTATCACAAACACACAGCAAGGCACTTCTTCCTTCCTGCTTCCCCTCCTACTTCCCTCCTTCTTTCTCCCGGCTAGTAGATGGACAGTTGCTGGCGACTGCACTGTCCCTTGTGATATTGTACTGGACAGGAAGTTGAGAGAAGCTGAGCTGAGAGAGTTGGAACGGTTTGGAAACATGATGACTATAAGTGCTTAGGCAGAAATGTAAATAAATATTTAGCTTTTTGCTGGGCAATGTATATATGTTAGCTCTGGATTTATTATTTAAAAAAGTTTAGTTTAATACCACTTTAACCCCCTCACGACCCTGAGCTTTTTTTCAGTTTTTGTGCGTTAATGACCAATGCACTTTTTAAATTTTTGCTGTGTGATACTTTCTTGCCAAGTGCACCCACACCTATTATATTTTGTTTTTTAGAGGACAGATAAGGCTATATATTTATATCACATATGTGTGCGCGTAACGCCTCACTTAGTATTAATAATATATCATTTAAAAAAAAGAGAGAGAAAGAAATGTAAAGGAAACTTTTTCCCCAGTTTTGAATATTTTTTAGAAAAATAGCACAGCTAAAAAAAATGCATTAAATGATTTTGTCCCTTATTTGGAAACACCTCACATCCCTAGGATTTCCGAAATGTTTCTGTACTTCTCGGCCTAAAACTAAAACCTAAAATTTTTATTTCTTTTTTCTCTAAAAACAAATAGTAGTTAGGTTAGTGGCATTAGATGTCACTGTCATGAAGTGTCACTAACTGTTTCACCTAGGTATAGCGACATACTATGAACACCGTCATGAGATGGTTAAATAAGAAAAAAACTAAACCCTTGGGGTGATAAACAAATCTGCAGCTCAGCTGCAGATTTTCATTGTTACAGGTTCATTTTTTATAAAAAATTATAGTATAAATAAAATTGTAATTTTTACTTTTTTTGTCAATTATATCAAGCAGCTTGATAATTTAATACATTTTGTACATTTTTGGTTATTGGGCTGCTCCAAATGTAGGAGCAGGACAATTTGTTCAGAGACCATAACATACAGGGGTACAGGTACCCTTAAAGAATAAGATCACACGGGGACTCGTACACATGCAGAATCCAAAACTTACACACAACTTGATGGACCTGTGTCTTTATTCAACCTCAAATAACATGTAACTATGTAATAATAACCTTAGTGATACTGATCCTGACAGCATGTCAGGCTCAGATCTCACTAAAGGCTTCTGATTATTCCCAGATGATCAGAAGCCTTGAAACTAGCATATAAATATATTGTTACATATTTATGTGCTGAAGAATGTAACAAACAGCCTCTACAGATTGGGAAGACCCAATTCTCTACATATATGTCAAAACTGAAATAGCAGAGCGGTGTGCACACCATTCTGCTATTTTAGCTGTCAAATATCGGACTTTACAAAAGCTTAATTCTTTACTTAATGGCAACACTGAGGCATCCATTAATGAACGTTAACTGCTGATTCCCAGCGGTTACCGGCTTTTTTGATTCCCGAATAGCTGCTCACGTACGGTGTACAAGAGCAGTCATTTGGGCACTTCACGATGGAGACGTACAGTTTAGGTCTCCAGTCGTGAAGTTGTTAAGGAGATTGTACAATTGGATTGTAGTGCATATGGTCATTTTAATACATCAACAGGGAAAATTAGAGGTCTATCTGTTGGCTTCTCATATGTAAAATGTAATATTTACTTTTTAAAAAATATATTTCCATTTATTATTTTAGTACTGAAACAAATGTAAAAAAAGTTTTAGTATGATAGTAGTCTGGGTGGAAATATTAAAGACCACTACCTCTGCATTGTAAATCACTTACAATGCAGATTATTTTGTCCAAGTGTGACCTGAGAAAAGGATCTGAACACATTCTTCTTTTAGAAAGCTCTGAAGAATGGAGACTGTAACATTGGACCTCCGTCACCAGAGAAGAGTACCAATCCGAAAAGAAAAAATAACAAAAAGAACAAGGGCAGGAAGAAGAACAATGCACTTCCCCTGAAAAAGGTACTTCACTGATCTAGTTTATTCTCTTGTTTGATCTCAACCTCCCTGGCAGTCTGATTATCCCAATATTTTTTGCTTTTTTTTTTTTTTGTCTATTTTGTATTTATTTTATTTCCCGCCGGTTCCCGCCCCCCTGCGACGCGGCCGCTCGCAAGGGACGGAACCCGGAAGACAGATGCCGGCATCGGCCGGAGCACACAGTGCGGCTTGTAGGGATAGCTGAGTGTATGTAGCCTGCTCTCCTCTCTGACACGCTGTCACAGGAGGCTGAACGTGCGGTGCAGTGAGGAGAGCTCAGCCTCCTGTGACAGCGCTGTGGGAGGAGAGACACCGGCCGCTCACAGCGCTCTTGTCCCGCAGCGCTCGGCAGGCTGTCACTTTCTCTCCTCCCCGCTGGGACACAGAGCAGCGCCCAGCGGAGAGGAAAGAAATCCCGGATGCGCCGATGTATCGGCAGGAAAATGGCACTTTCGGCCTCTAGGCAAAAGTGCCATTTTCGACCGATATATTTCGCGGCCGGTATATCGGTGCATCCCTAATCTTTAGTATTGGTTCAGATCTTGTAACTTTTTTTTTTTTTTTAAATATCTTTTGTGGGGGTTTTTTTGTACTGACCAAATTGTTTTCTGTTGCACATGTATAATGGTTCTCTATAGGCTAAATTCTTGTATATTCTTACTTTTAAAGTGGAGAGTTGGAGACCCATGCAATGCTGTTTGGTCAGAAGATTGCAATCTTTACCCAGCCACTATCTCTTCTATTGATCCAAAACACGGGACATGTATTGTTGTGTATACTGGCTATGGCAACAGCGAGGAGCAAAATCTAACAGACTTGCGCTTCCCTGACAGTTCAGAAGTAGATAGTGATCACAAAGATCCAGTACAGGTAAGAGTTCTGTTATATATATTTTTTTACTGTTGTCTTTCTCTCCTCAAAGTGGCCATAAATGAGGCAAGATTGAAGCATAATACATGCATTTGTGGCCCAGGCTTGTACACTATACACGGGGTGACTGCAAAGTGGTGTCAGCACTGTCTAACGCTCTCTTCTGGGTTAGCAAATTCCACATGACAAATCTGAGAGGTTAGGTCTTCTAACATATGATGCTAAAATTTTCTACAAGATCATTTAATTATCTGACCAAGCTCATTCAGTAGTGTGATGTTTTTGATCTTTTGTTGAGCCTCACGCTCCTCACATGGGGAGGAGGTGCGGCGTGTGTGGAGCCGCGAACAGGGGCAACTAATCGAAAGCCGATTAATCGTTGATAGAAAACGTTGTCAGCAATTTCAATCATCGATTGTAATCGACTTAGGCTTTGCATGATTGAATAAATGTCAGTCAAAGTACGGCAGCGCTGAATACTGAAGAATGGTCTGGACAGGAAGGGGGGTTTAACACCCCGATATTAAAAGCAATTTTGGTTAAAAGGGGTTAAAAGCAATTTTGTGACTTGTGAAATAATTATTGTGTATGAAGTAGTTCTTAAACATTCGTGTATCTACATTGTCTGCTATCACTTTCTGCAGTTGACAGCAATTTTATGCTCCCCTGAAAAATCTAAATAGAACCCATATGTACATGTTTAGCAACCAATTTCACGTCATCCAAAGCTGTTGGTTAAACAGCAATATCGAATTGCAGTTTTTGATTTCATTTTTTTTTTTTAAACGTATATAATACTTTGCTAATGCTCCTTATTTTCAGGATGTTAATGGGGAGAAGCATTCAACAGATGAAAGTGACAGGTCATCTGCGGACTCCGAAAGCAGAGATCAGCGCAGTGCGGCTACAGCAAAGAATGCTCCTTGGAATACCCATTTCCCCCCAGCTCCACCTCCCTTTATGCCAGGGTTTGGACGGGTAAGAGTGCAGGTTGCATTATGTGACAAGCTTTAACTTTCAGACTCTGAACACTGCTATGCAATTTCTGGACATCTAGGTGGGCTCTGTTACCTGAATGGGAAGGTTCATTTGTATGGAGGGCATGAGCTGTGATTCAGACACAGCGTCTTGTGTGCACCGGAAATTTGACATGCACAGACTTCAGTCTATTTGTTTATAGTTTCCATGTCATTGCTTCGCACTCTGTAGAGGTGAATGTAGTATGCGAGTCTAACGTCTCAGGAAAGGTAGAGTAGTGCATTGTCGCCTGAGAGCAACGTAATGCTTGTCTGAGCCATAAGCCAAAGCTAAACAGACAAAATGTGAATATAATTGCAGATATACGAAAGAATGGCTTCGTTTAATTTTGCTTGTGTAGTATTCCATTCACATTGATTAGTCCACTGAACCACCCAGTTTTATCAGCCATCACATTGGGGCTCACTAGGCTATGTAATGTACAGCAATGAATGGTTGCTTAATTTGTACTTGTACAGTAGCAGTGATAATCATTTATGTATTTACAGCCTGGTGAGAAATCTAGTCAAGCGCCTCCATTCTTTGCTGGCTGGCCTCCATCATTTCCTCAAGGCCCACCTGTAAGTCATTGTCTTGTCGCAATATAGGGATCATGTATGAAGAGGTGACAAAAGGCATAGTACTTTAGCGTGTCTGCATGACAGCTGCAGCTTGTCAGCTTGTATTATTTTTCAGTGTCAGTATATTTAGCATCGTCTTACAACCTGACATCCCTCTCCAATGGGGCTTAGTAGTAATTTATATCATGGAAGTGTCATACCTTCAAATAATATTATTGGCACTAATAGTTAAAATCAAATTGCTCATTCAGGTTTGAGTGTCTAGTTTAGGTAAAAAAAAAATAGAATATCTTTCACACAGGATTTAAAAGCAATTGGGCTATACTGCTGTCTACAGGAACTTTGTAAACTAGCAACAAAATAGCCCCTTATACTCCCAAGATGCTTCAGTTTTTTTCCTAGTGCATTAGAAGAGCTCGTGTTTTACTTGCCATTTCATTTTTTTTTCTTCAAGATTATGCTCCTATCCAGATGGGCATATCCTGAGCAATAGCTCTGGAGGTCAGATCCAGAGCCCTCTGGTCTATGGAACAGCAATGTAGAAAGCATTTGCTGTGCATGAATTTTTAGGGTGATTGTCTCTTTGAAGTGGTCTGGGACACACTTCTAGAAGATGTCACCTGAGAATAAAAGTACTAGTGTGCCCCAGTTGAAGACGCATAAGCCTCAAATTGGGAAGACTTCCTTGTCTGAGAGCAAAAAGAGTTGCTTTTATTACTCCAAAAGGGGGAGAGACATTTGGTCTTGGTCAGAAAGCGTCTTGGTTTCATGGTTTCCAGGGGCCACAAGTTAAGATTTACATTCTCTGCCCCTTCCGCGCTTCATGATACCCATCCTACTTGTGTCTGCACAGACTTGCAGACCTCCATGCTGCTCTTGCAGATCTTTTGAATTAAGGTGTTAATGCCATTAGTTCTGTTTCAACAGTGACAAGGTTTGAGGGGGTTTTACTCCAACCTTTTTACAGTTCCCAAACCTAAAACCACAAGGTTGCTAATAACCTGCCTTTATCAGTGAGGTTTTCTAGCTTTTTCGGACATCAAGGCTGCATACTTGCTTGTATGTCCAGGTAGGTCTTGCCAGAACAATGGGACTGGGGACCGGCCGATTATCTACATTGGCCGGTCAGCAGGTGGTTAAGGGACACAGGTGCCACCCCTCTTTCTTTAGTGATCTTACTCCTCTTAATGCTTCTCTAGAAAACTGAGGTATGCTGGGAGTGGGAGGGGTTATACCAGACTGTTCACTGTTTTATTTATTTGTGTCCAAATCATCGGGTAGGCAGCAGTAGAACTCAATAGTATTTGAATCCTGTCCCTTAGTGAAAATGGAGAAACGCATTTTACGATAAGTACAAAAATCACATCATTTTTTTTTTTTTTTCTCTTATGCTTTTTTAGTTTATAGTTACTTTAAACAAAAAAAGTAATCCCACATAAAATACATTCTTGCTAAACATGACACTTGGCATGCCTCTGCTCCTCTTTATACATTTATCTCTAGTTTTATATTTTATGTTTATTATTTTGTATCTTCATTGGTTTCAAGACACGCATGATGGTTAGTTGTTTGTTGGTTTTTTTCCCACCATCACCAAGACTGTGGAAGGGCTGGGACTTTGTGCGTGAGTCATGTGTCACCAGCTACCCATTTCAGCAATTCTATATTATCCCTTGTTGAACATTGCAAGGCTTTCAGTTAATCCTAAAATGTTAACCATTTCCTCCTGAATCCTAGAAAACATAAGAAACTTTCCCAACTCTATACAGGCAATGAGAAGCGTTGGTGCTGTTATTGCAGGCATGAGGAAGTGTCCTTGGGTATCAACACCTGGCATGGTCCATGTTAAAATGTTAGCATAGCATTGCAAATGCTTATCTCAAATGTGTATTTTGGATTAACAGATTCACCTAATTTGCATGATCAAGCAAAGCATTTCTAAAGGGTCTTTAAATGCCTCCCAAATGCTTATTTAATGCCTATCAATGGCTTTCAGGCCATGTGTTTACTACCTGGAGTATTTGCAGGTAAAACTATAATCTGTTGTTTTATAAAGTATCCCTTGTGTTTTTTGATGTTTAGTTGATCCCCCCTCCTCCTCCAATGGGTCCTGATATCGCAGAGGATGATGAAGCCCTGGGAAGCATGCTAATTGCCTGGTATATGAGTGGCTACCATACTGGTTATTATCTGGTGAGTGTGTATCTTATGATTCATATTTGTGAAATAATATTGCTTTACCTTGTAAGATCACCAGACAATTTTTATTTTGCTCAATAATATTTAAATATAAAAACAAATTAAATATGTTACCCAACCTCACTTCTAATACCCTTTTTAAAAGGGAGCTTTAGTAGATTCAAAGATAAAACTCTGCTGTGAGGTAGTGAATTACATTATATGCCCAGATACATATATTACCAAATAAATTGGATATGACCCATAAGGAAATTATTAAAACCATCAAACGAAATGCTGCTGGTCTGAAATGCAAAACGTCAGCACTTTCTCAGTGTAACAAAGCTTGCCTGCCCCTTCCTGCCTCCTGCACATTCCTATTGGCCAGTGGGGCAGTCCAGAGGTGTTAGAGCTTGCCTCTCAGAACAACACAGAATTCAGCTGTGTCAGAAAATGTTGGAAGGCTGTTGTAGGTATGTGTACACACATCTGTGTGCCCAGAGCTGTCCCTAATTTCTTTGCCGCCTGAGGCAGCCAGAAAAAGGGGGCTGGGCGGCAGGTGGGTTGTACTTATAGTCGCCCATGCTGCTGCCCGCCCCCCCAGATGAGATGTCTCATGGGGACACCCCTGGGTGTGCCTACGCTTTATACCTGCAGGTTTGTTTTTTAGTGTTGTCTATTTTAAGCTTAGTAGATTCCTCCATCTAAAGCGGGGGTCTCAAACCTCCGGCCCTCCAGCTGTGGTGAAACTACAAATCCCATGATGCATCTCTCTTTGGGAGTCATGCCTGTGGCTGTGAGAATCTTGCAATGCCTCATGGGATTTGTAGTTCCACCACAGCTGGAGGGCCGGAG